AGGGCATCGCTACTAGGAGCCAATAGCTACTAGCAGCTCCTGGTATTACTAGTAGTAACAAGAAGCTACTAGTAACAAAGGGCATTGCTGCTAGGAGCAAAATGGTACTAGTAGCTCCTGGCACCACTAGTAGTAACAAGAAGCTACTAGTAACAAAGGGCATTGCTACCAGGAGCCAAAAGCTACTAGCAGCTCCTGGCACTACTTGTAGTAACAAGAAGCTACTAGTCACGAAGGGCATTGCTGCTAGGAGCAAATAGCTACTAGTAGCTCCTGGCAATACTAGTAGTAACAAGAAGCTGCTAGTAACACAATGGCATCGCTACTAGGAGCCAATAGCTCCTAGCAGCTCCTGGCATTACTAGTAGTAACAAGAAGCTACTAGCCTGACTGCTGGGACAAAACGCTGCCAATCACTACCCTCAAGATCGCCTTCTCCCCGTTCAAAAGTCGCTGTGCATTCTCTTTGCATGCATCAACTGCTCCTGCATCAATATCCACACCGGTCCCCTGGGCATCATTTGGCAAGCTCTTCAAAATGGCCAGCAGCAGCGCGCCACTGCCAACGCCCAAATCCAAGATTCGCGCTGCTTTGCAAGCCTTCAAGCACTCCAAGGAGGCCTTGCTCGCGTTGATGCTCGGGGATGTGGCGAATGAAACGCGCAAGCAAAATCCGGGGGCTGCCTGACACTTGCACCGCATGCCTTCTACAAGTACCAACCCCATAGACCTGATGAAATGAACGAACCTTACATCAGTTCGATTTGGCACAGGATGCTTCACTCCGCTTTTCTATGGCAGGCACCCAGCTTCAGCAATGAGTAAAGCAAGTCGAAGGCAAAGGGGTGTCATGCAAGCTTGCGTCTGGAGAATGCAACCTATGGGGGATCATGTGGATGAGGACATCTTGAAAAAACATTTGTGCTTTGAGTGCCAGCAAGTTGCAGTTGGCATCTGTCCTGCAGAATGTTTGGCTACTCTGGCAGTAGCACCTGTTTTCTTGTTTTGTTGCGGTGCTAGTTTTGGTCTTGGCTTTGAGCATGTGGCGGTTTGGATCGCAAAAGCTTCAGGCGCTGCTGTGATTCAGCGGTCAATGTGCATGCATCCAAATCTCATCGCAAGAGTAGAACTTTCAAAGCAACATCAAGCTTGCCATTCCAAACAGTTTTTGCATCTTCACCATTGGCCACATCTCACCATTAGCCACAATCTGTTTACCCACCGCCACTAAACCCAGATCTCCTGATGTTGGCCATTTACCTGATCACTTTGACCTTTCTATACTTCCACACCCCTTCATGCAGCTCTTCCTTTTGTTCAACTGCAGCTGAACCTATGAACTCAGTTCACAGCTTCAGCCACAAGAGGGACACAGAGGGACTATTGTCACCCTGGTTCATTTGCCTCTCTCCAGCCTGTTTGTCGTGTTAGATTTATCCGGAAGGGTAACCTGTTTTGAAAGGTCACCATGCCAGAGCCTAGCCATCCACCTATCTTGGGCCGCCTGCACTAGCGGCGCAGAGGAGGGCCGTGGCCTTAACTGCTCTGACGGCACCACAAAGCGCAAGCCACAGAAGCAAACCTCTGCAGTGAGGCTCCCAGTGGCTTCCACACCCATGACGATCGCACCGGACCAAATGCACTCCGACCAACGACACCGGTGATGCTGATGCGCTTACAGGGTTCCCATTTTCATGGTGGGCCACACCAACAACACAAACAGCCTACAAGCTTCCAACTGCACTACTACTACTACTACGACGACGACGACGACGACGACGACTACTACTACGACGACGACTACTACTACTACTACTATACTCCTACTGCTACTACTACTACTACTCCTACTACTCCTACTCCTACTGCTACTACTCGACTACTACCACTACGATGACTACTACTACGACGACGACTACTACCACGACGACGATGACGACGACGACCACGACGACGACGACGACGACGACTACGACGACTACTACTACTACTACTACTACTACTCCTGCCACTACTGCTGCTACTACTAGTGCTGCTGCTGCTACTACTACTACTACCACCACCACCACTACCACCACTACTCTTACTCCTGCTGCTGCTGCTGCTGCTCCTACTACTACTACTACTACGACTACTATTACTACTACTACTACTATTACTACTACTACTACTACCACTACCACTACCACTACCACTACCACTACCACTACTACTACTACTACTACTACTACTACGACTACTACTACTACTACTACTAGTACTAGTACTACCACTACTACCACCACCACTACTACAACCACCACGACGACGACTTCCACTGTGTCTACTACTACTTCTTCTTCTACTACTACTACTACTCCTGCTGCTACTACTACTACTCCGACTCCAACTCTACGACTCTACGACTCTACGACTCTACTACTACTACTACTACTACTACTACTACTACTACTATTACTACCACTACTACTACTACTACTACTCCTCCTCCTCCTGCTGCTGCTGCTGCTGCTGCTGCTAACGACCTGCCTGCCCACCTAGCTACCTACCTACCTACCTACGTACTTGCTTACTTACTTACTTACTTACTTTCTTTCTTTCTTGCTTGCTTGCTCACTGACTGACTTACTTACTTGCCTACTGACTTACTTAATTACTTGCTTACTTACTCCTTCACCTACTTCACTTACTTACTACGGCTACCGCTACCGCTACCCCTACCCCTACCCCTACCACTACCACAACACTACAACTAACAATACCACTACCACTACCACTACGACTACGACTACTATTCCTACTACTATTCCTACTGCTACTACTGCTGCTGGTACTGCTACTCCTCCTACTGCTGCTACAGCTGCTACTGCTGCTAGTGATTTTCCTACTGCTTCACTGCTACTTCTGCTATGCTTTTTGCTACTGCTGCTACTCCCAAATAAGGCGTCCCAATCACACACCCGAACACCTTGAGATTTCAAAAGGAATGTCCCGTCGCTTCCGGTGTGAAAATTGGGAGGTGTCGGCTACTAGTTCACTTGCAGGGGTGTGAGCTTACTCACTCTGTTTTGGGACAACTTTCTGATGCGTAAACCCATGCGGCCATCCTCGAATGCCTTTTGGTGAAAGTCCTAGGAACATCAGCCAATCTTTCGACAGCCCAGGCTAGGGAGCCGAACTGAACTGGTCTCAACATCGCAGAAAGAAGGGATTCTGGTATACCCCCTGCTTAACAACTGGATAAAGGTCCAAAATTGTCATCAACATTATGTCCTTCTCTACTTCGACCCATCCCCCCTTTACAGCGCCACCGCCTCCTCGGTCGCCTCAGCGCCACACTTCCTTTGGGCTGCTAGGGATTCTTCAGCGCGGAGGAAGCTGGACCACCTGTGGAAGAGTCGTACGCATGAAAATTGGAATTTCCAAAAGGCTCTTGACGATGCCTGTTTGCACCTTCCGAGAAAGAAGTTGAAAATTAACAAAAATGTGAACTGCCACTGCATCCTTCGCATGAAACCTTTAGTTCTTAAGGGTTCAGAGTGCTTGGAGCGTATGACACGCAAATCGTTCGATGGGACGCCTGTCAATGTTAGCTTCGATCGAATCCCAAGAAACCCAATCACCTCAAATTGTCAATGTGCCGGTTTGATGTCTTTGATGCCTTTGATGAGGTCCCTCAATAGAGGGATCTCATCAAGCCGAGGAGACCCCATGTGATCAACGGTTCTCATATCACTGGAAGTTGGAAATCATCTGTGGCTTAGCGCTCACAATGCTTCTCCTGGTGGGTGGGGCTTTCTGTTAATCCTCTTCACAAGCCCTTCACTTTCGACCACCTCAACGGAGTCTTGATTTCACAGCCTGGCAGGCATTGTCCGCCGCAAGTCGGGGGCAGCGGGCCAGGAGAGGTTGATGACTTCGATGCAGGTACCTCGTAGAAACGGGATGGGCGACTGGAGGCGTCCTCCAAGCGCCGGTACAACCGTGTACTGCTTGTTCATCATGATCCCATATGTAGCACCAAAATATGTATATACCCTTTCCCCACTCCAAGGAACACTGGGCGAATGACAAGTGGTGACAACGCGATGGGTGGATTTCAGGATCAGTCTAACGGCATTGAAGAAGATCAGTCTCAGTCCAAAATCCACCTCCGCCTCAATGTCATCCTTGCTAGACCATGTATATATATACAATATATATATATATATTATAAAGTGCTCATTTGGCAAATTGGTTTCGGTGTCCAGATGCCTCCCTGCAGACTGCTCTAGTAGTTGGCTTCTGGCCGCATCTGCACAAACATATATGGTGAACGGACTTCCAGCTTAACCCGCATATCAAAAATATTATCCGAGCAATTCCTAACATACATGCCAGAGCAGTTGATATGGCTTCGTCAAAAGCCGGCTTGAAAGTCTTGAACCATCTGCCTTTGGTCTCTTCAGTTGATTTCTTCCACTCCATCCAGAGGCAGGATTGGGTCTTGTTGCCGACTCTTCTCCTCGCCTGGGAGCACATCCTCCTGCGTGGCGCTCTGCGGATGGCTGCGCACATCGATCACCTCGCGGCTTCGTTGCGATGAAGGGCCAAGCTGCACCACCGCCAGGCCGGCCTCCTCTGCGACGGGGGGTTGGTCAAAGAGGCGAGGTGCAACGACTTGCCAGGTGCTTCCGTTTGGACCATGAAAAACCTTCAACAGCTGCAAGAAAACTGAACAATATCGGCCTGCATGGCCAGTACCAGCTGCAAAGGTGTTTTTTTCGAGGTCATCACCAGATCCACTTCCACCACCGCCACGTGCCCGAAGTGTCCTGATGTGAAGCAAACCAAACAACCCTGAGGCACAAACTCTTTGAAGCCCTACAAATCTTGAGTTATCAGGATCTGGTGCCGAATCGGCACCTTTTGCCTGGAAAGCGGCTACGACCAAAAGGTTATGTCACTGAATTCTGAACACTTTTCAAGACCATCGAGAAGATGAAAGGGTAGTAGGAAGAAAATCGACTATCGATCTCACAATTCTGCCGCGGAGTAAGAAGAGCGAAAAAGCGAAACAGTTGCAACACATCTACAGCAAGTGTGCAACCAACCGTTTCAGAGCTGAACGCAGTTTCAGAAAACAACTCACAAAATGGCGGACCCCTACTGCTGTCAATGTTTCAATGACCATTAGGTGTCTTCAATGTGTATCTCCAATGGAGTCACATCTCTTTACCATCATGCTGGCAGTAGCTGCCTGAGTGGCGTTGATGCTGCGATAATATTACCCTTCACTTCAATCAGTGCAGCAGCTCCCCTCCACTCTGCTTCGCTCCGCATTGCTCCTGACGGCACTTCCTCCACCACGCGGGCATCTTCCTCCGGAGCTCCGTAGAACTCCAGCGCCGCGCTGATCGCGCCGGGACCGGAGGCGAGCTCGGCAGCCATGACCAGGAGCACCTGGGAGGTCCGGTGGACGGAGAAGAGAGGTTCATGAACTTGGTGAGATGAAGATGTTATTTTAGCCGGCTCCCCGTCCTCCCTAACTTAATTTTAGTAGGCGCCTACTTAATTAAGTACGGGAGAGGTAGCTAGTAGCTTAAGTAGTACTTAGGACGCAGGACAGCTAACGCTCGCACCAATGATGATTTGGTTTCTAGATGTTTAGGGACACTTGACAGAGGTTAGTGGATTATTGCGTGGGATAGAATCTGGTCGCCGACCATTCAAAAAGATGATAGGAATTTTACTCACCTTATAAAACTAGATCATCAATAGCAATAAAACTGATCACAACGTCTTCTTACAACTATTCTCTTTTTGTAGGATCTTTCTCCTACAGTTGTACCATTATATAGTTTACAATACTTCTCAAAATGTATCGGCTTCACTACTCGCCTTTAAGATTGTTAACCTCTCCAAGATAAAAGGAAAATACTAAAAATGAAGAAATGAAGACTTCCTAAATAGAATAAGAATGAGATTTGCAGAATAACTACATACTCTCTTTTTGAACCTGTTTGATGACTTAACTTAGTGGGGCAAGCAGCCTCACTGCAAACTGGTGGCTGCCTGCTGCAAACGCGGACAGGTTCGCTCCTTCCACCATTATCAGCCCAAGAAGTTACTTGAGTAAGGCGAAGGTAAATCTTGGCAGTACCCTTAAGCTACTAGGGTCCTGGCATCGCTACTAGTCACAAGGACGCTACTAGGGCTCCTGGCCTTACTACTAGGAGCAAGAACGCTACTAGGGGCTCCTGGCCTTACTACTAGGAGCAAGGACGCTGCTAGCAGCGTCCTTGCTCCCTTGTCCCCTAACTCCCTACCTCCCCCAGCATTTTGAGTAAGGCCAGTGGGCCCGACCGCCTCGCCCAATCGCCAGGCCACACAGCTCCCCCGAATCCGTGGCAAATCCGCGTCTGAGATCCTTGGAGTGTCGGCATGAGGCATCCAGAGCCTTCCCGGTTCTCATCAAGAATCAGATTACTCAACCAGACCAATGACCAACACAAGAACTTCACGGTCGGCAGGTGATTGATCAAACACGGAATCTCTCTTGGGAGGCCTCTTGGGAGTCGCCCAACTTTGAGACGATCAACGTGTTCCGCAATGATGCGAAATTGTTGGAGAAACAAGGCAGAAGCCGGCGGACCAAAAACACACAAGCTGGATTGAATCTCTATCCGCTGGATTGTAGGTGCACTGGAGTGTCTTTGGCCGCACAAGGGTGCTACACAAAAGCATGGCAATCTTTTGGGGAAAAAAAGTAAACCCATGCAGGGCGCTGTTCACCCGCCAAAACTGCAAAGGCCCCAACGCCAAAAGCTGCGGCAGGAGAATCAATACTTAAGTCTCCCTAAAAATCTAGGAACCAAATGAATAGTGCAAGCGCTTCTTCAAGGGCGGCGGGGGAGCTTGAAGAAGCGAGCTATTCTGCGTCCATATGTAGTGGCTTAAGTAAGTTACTAGTGACTCTCTAGCTTCTACTAACTACCTACCTTGCTACTTCCTACCTCCCTCTACGGCCTACCCCGCCCTTTGCTTCCGATTCCAGCTCCTCTCAGCCGGGCCTCAGAACTAGACCGCCCATGGCCTCGCTGGCCATCGACCGTACGGACGGGTGTACCTCGCTGGACGGCGGCTTGTAGTAAATGGCCAAAGGTCCTGCGGAACGGATTCGCTCAGACCAGTCCACAAATCCCCAACCCAAAGACTAACAGCGATGGTCTCCAACCTCTCCTGAGCCATGGGCCATTCTGTCTCGGACCTACCCGGGCAGTTTCCTCGTCTCGGATTGAGGCAGACATAAACAAATCACATTTTGTTGACAAGCCTTGGTTTTGCAACACTACCAGCACTCAAGTCTTGACGGGGTTTGGAAAGTTAAATAAACTGTGTTTGGGAACCATTCAAGGGATGACACCTGCCACACCTCTCCCACAGTTTTTGGTTGCAACATGACTGGTCGTGCGACGATGAATCCCCGACCCTTGGCGACAAAATGTGTGTCATTGCACGTTGCTTGACCTCTTTGCAAGTTCAATACGTCTATTTCCGAACCCACAAAACCTCCAATTTCAATCTTTTGGTTGACCCCCTAAAACAGGTTTTGTTGATGGGTGAAACTAGACAAATGATGTTGACTCAGCCTGCAAGCGGCTACCGGACGGTCCGGCAAACGGCGCCCTCCGACAACTTAAAGAACTACAAAAACAGTGCAACGTCCAAAAATATTTACAACCAGAAAGGAAAATGTTGACTGACCAACACATTTCTTCGTGATCGAGGTCTTTTGCTTGCATCCCCTTTCTGGCACGCCCTGACCTTGTTGCCATTCCAAAAGGGCCATCCCAACGTGTGACCTTGTCACACACAGCTCAACAAGCCATGCCCAGCAGTTTACTTGAGTGACATGACATTGCACCACAACTCAGGAAAAAAGGAACCATCAAAAAATGGGTAAACGAACCATCTGCAACAGACCAATCGTATTTTGCCGATCAACCAACAATGAAAAAATCAAATCTGTTCAATAATCATTGATATTTGGATTGAACATAAGTACTCCAGAACAAGCTGAGGTTGTTGTTGTTGTCGTTGTTGTTGTTATTGTGGTAGTGGTTGTTGTTGTTGTTGCCATTGCTGTCTACTTGTCGCATGTTTGTTGGAAAGGCTGAACAGGCTGCATGGTGACCAACATGCAAAAACAAAAAATACTATATTTTTTCGCAGCACGTTGACTTGTTCCAACTCAGCAACATCAAGAGTTCAAATCTCCCAAACACACAAATAATATGAGACATTGAAATTGGTCAATCTTTGTTTCCATAGGGGTACTACAACGAACCACATGCGCAACATGCTCACCCGTTGCACACATGGGGACTACAATGTCAAAATACAATGAGATTAGCATGCAACAGTCTGGACACTTGTCACACCGTTGGAACCATCTCCAAACAGAGCTGACGAGTGCCGCAATTTGTTTGCACGAGTCGAGCTGCAAAACCAAACGCAAAACCAACCAGCAGAAACAAGAGGATGGAGACGTCTTTCTTGAAAGTGACTTGAATGTACATGCAAAGGTGAGACAGAGAGTGAAAACCGAGGTTGGGCAATCAATTGTTGCAAAAAGGGCCACGAGGTTGGCCTTTTTTTGCACGAGTGGAGCCGCCGTGCGTGCAGGAGGTGCACAGGTCAGCTTTTGCTGGGTTTGGATGAATCTCCTGCATGGGAAACAAACACGGCAGCAAAAACACAGCCAAACAAACCAAAACCAACACCAACAGAAACACACGAACTTTTTTTTGCACGGGTGGAGACGCCATGTGCAGAGATTGCACAGGTCATCTTGTGCTGGAGATGAATGAGTTGCCAGCCAGACAGACGAAACAAAAAAAACAGAAAGCACACAACCAACCAAACCAAACAAAACCAGAACCCAAACAACCAAACCAAAAACCAGCGAAGAAGAGGCAGTCATCCTGGCAGCAAGCAACTCATGAGAGTCATGCGAGGGTGAGATAAAGAGGAGTGAAACATGGGGCTCCAAATAACAAAAAAACCGCTCAGTACTTCAGAACGTTCACTGTCGAAAGCCATTAATGCAGAGTATGGTGCCTTGGCGCTTTTAAAATAGCGCTAGGCACCCGGCCTTTCCCCAAGAGGCAGAGCTGCACGTGCTGTTTGCTTTTCATTGAGGTTGGCGAGAGGCTTGCTTGACCATGTTTCCAGGTCCCTGTACACATGTGGGAGAGTGGATAGGCACACAACGGAAAACCACTGCGGGAGCTTCCTATTGCACCAAGTTATCATTTGGCGCAAAAGCTAAGTTTCGTCATTGAACACGGCATTTTGCAGCCTGAGCCAGCCTTTGTGCTTACTGAATGCCCAGCAATCGCACCAACGGTGCTTGCCATCTTTTTGCGAAAATCAGAGCACAATAGGCAAGTAATCCAAAACTACCTCACTACTGCCTTTTTTGCACGGGTGGAGACGCCATGTGTGCAGAGGTTGCACAGGTCATCTTGTGCTAGTGAAGAGTGAGTTACAATCCAGGTTGCAGTAAAGAAGACAACCAGAAGACCAACACAACAACCGCAAAACCCAAAACAAAAACCCAGCCCCAAAAAGGCAACCTGCAACCTGGGGAGTGACTCGAAAGGCCGTGTAAGCCAAAAAGAGAGGAGGTGAAACAGGGGCGATGAATTCGGTTGACACTCAGTGCATCTTCGCCACCATGAAGTACTGTGTTTCATTACGACAGCGTGCGACATCCTGTTTCTTTTCTTGTGTTGACTTGGCGTGCTTGTCAATTAGCATACCTCTGAAGCAGGACACAATGGGCGAATTTACTTTGCACGAGCATGTTGGAGGGCATCGAAATGCCATGCAGGCAGCTGTTGAGTCATGCATCTTGGTTGCCTGAGGACAGGCAATCCTGCAAGGTGCTCAGATGAATGCAAGTGTGGCTCAGGGGAAAACCACGGCAGGTAGCTTACAACGCTGCAAGCTGTTGCACGCAAGGCTGCAGTGTAGCCACTTTCATGCTGGCTCAAAATTGAAACAGTCCTCCTACACCTCCGAACCTAGTCGGACCTCAACGACTGCTCTCGGACACGTCCTTCCACTACAGTTCTGTCGACACAACAAGAGGTTCCAAATCCACATGCTGCACAGACAAGCCAACCGAAACTCTTCCGAACTCATTCGGACGGATCCGAACACAGACGGACAACAACGAAAACACACAAAACAGATTCAAAAACTCTCCAAACGAATTTTGACTTTGGAAAATAACTGTTCCGGAAAAAGCACATTCGACAAAGTTCAAACTTCAGCAGGCACAATGCCCAAATCTTCCGTCACCTTTCCGATCACCAACGGACGAAAAATGCAAGAAACACGCACGATGAGCATACTCCCCTTCTCGAACTGAACGTTCACTGGTCGGAAGTTCGTCGTCATCGTCGTCTCGAGACAAACCCCTCAACAATGCTGCCTTATCTTCATCCAAACCGGGTACAAGTCCTACAGCATTGCAAAGGTTCAGCCACATCTCGATTAGCTTGCAACTTTTCGTGAGACCGTCGGACGGGTTGGAAACACCCTCCCAATGTTCCAAGGTCAAGCGACGTCGTCGATGGAGGTACTTCACATAATGCGCGCGCAACTCCATGTGCTTCACACGTCGAAGTAGCCCCTCCATGGTGGAAATGGAAATAGCCGCTTTCCCATCGTTGTACAAATGCAGCTTCATGCTTCCTGTGGTCTTGGCTGGCATGCCTATCTCGTCAAGAGGAATCCCATCGCGAGCGGTCTCGATCAACATCCCTAGAGCTACAAGTTCTTTGCTAGCCTCCGTGATGGAGATCGCTTCTGCTTCTGCAGACGACAACGCGGGGACCTCCTGTCTCCTCCTAAAACACTTCAAACAGCATCCACGCCAAGAAATCACAGCACCAGACACGCTGGTCACATTCCACGAAGCGTCACAAAAACCTACAACGACCTCTTCTTCAGTCAACACGGGTGGTGAACTGGCGGGCATCTGCTGCACAAAATGCAAATGACCCTTCAACCAACGAAGAAAGCTACGAAGACAAATCTCCACGGGAACATGTGGCTTCGACTGAAACCTACTCAAGAACCCAACACGAAAAGCAAGGTCTGCCCTGGAGAGTGCTGCCCATGCGAGTTGTCCTAAGACCCTACGGCAGCGCTGGGCTTCCGTGTTCGGGAGTCCCGAACTTTTTCTCTGCATCTTTCAGCAGCTCCTCCAGTTTGGGTATGGCTGAACCGGTGGATTCTTTGAGCTTCTCTTCCCATGACACAAAGATTCCCTCCATATAGCTTCGAGACACTCCAAAGTACAGACATTCCTCTTTGTCGTGGAGTCTGTAGATCGTGCGGCGTGAGAATTCCAGAAGTCCTTTCTGCCCGGACGGAATACTTCCCGTGCGTTTGATCTTCCATATCTTCTGGAGAGCACGTCTTTTTTTTGCACGAGTGGAGGCGCTGCGTGTGCCGAGAGGCACAAGTCACCTTGATTGAATTAAATAGGGTTGCTGAGAAGATACGAGCCAGGAAAAGAACAAGACTCAAACCCACAAAACCAAACAACAAAACCCACAAACCCCCAAAACAGCCAAACAGACAAACCGGGCTCGTATCTCATCAGGACTGTCAGAGCCGAAGCGACTGTCTTGAAATAGATGTGAAACGGGGCATTGGGTTCATTCTTCTGTCCGCGCTGATCAGGAGGTAGCAAACTTCCTTCTTACGGGCAGTGAGTGCCTTATCTCAGCTAAGACTAGTCTTCCAGACAAATGCTCAATTGTGTGCAGGAGCGAGGAACATTGCAATCATTGCGCTGCGCAGAGACGAAACATGATTATGTCCAAGAGCACTGCTTTGCCTCTGACAGCTTCCGTTTGTTCCAAGCAAGCCTCATCAGTCTGACACATGGCTTCAGCAGCATGCAACAATCTGCTTCCTTGGAGCTCCAAGCCATATCCTCTGGAGAGCACGCAGGAAGTTCTCGCCTCCTTCAACGTCATTACTGGCAATAAGCAGGTCGTACGTCGGTCTGCACACGGAACATTGATTCAAAGGTCTCGTCATCGCCCGTCACGGATCGTCCTCTGAAGAAGAACCACAACAATGGAGCCTTCTCAAGCCATTCATGGCCTTTCTCAGCCACAAGATGACTCGTTGGCCCTTCACACAACACCAAATCACAAGCGTCGGCTTCAACAGACGCACACATGAAGGCTGTCGACACGTCAGCTGTGAGAAGGCTCATGCTTTCAACCACTGAGACAAGGACCACTCGCTGCTCGCGGGGCTGCCAGATCGAAATGCGCTTTCAGCACCAGAGGCGAACTTTTTTTT